TGGGGATCTGTGTGACAGGGGGAGTGGTGGGGGTCTGTGTGACGGGGGGAGTGGGTTGGTGGGGGCAGATGTCTAAAATGAGACAATTGGGGGAATCTGCTCTCTTTGGTCTCTGAACATGAAAAGCCAGAGCGACGACAGCAACAGCATGCTTGCATTAATGTAGCACCTCAAACGTGATGAGACTTCCCAGCATCTGATGTGGGCTCATGAAGGGAAATATTGAGACAGGAAAACAAAAAGCTGCTGCACTTTAAGCAGCACCTTCAGAGAGGCGAGGGAAAGAGAGAGATAGAGAGGGAGGGAGGGAATGCCAGGGATGAGAGAGTCCGCATCAAGCAGAGGGATGATGGAAACTGGGGAATGTGTTAGACCTGAATTGGAGAAGCTGGGGGCTCTGGGAGGATTGTGAGAGAGAGGAGATGGCAGAGATAGGGAGGGATTTAAAACGAGGATCAGCATCTGGGAATGGAGAGACTCTGTTTGTCAGGAAGCCAGTGAGGATGGGTGTTGGGTCCTGCAGAATTCAGTGCTCCCTCGGGATAGAGGAATCTGAAATTTGGATTTGCTGTAATTTAAAGAGTGCAGAATATGAGAGACCAGCCAATAAAGTATTAGACGGCGCTAATCTGGAGCTAACAACAGTATGAATGAAAGTTTCAGCAGTAAATGAGCTGTCACAGAGCTACATTACAGAGGTGGTGGAACAATGACACAGGAACAGCTAAAAGAAAAGGAGTAGGCCATTTGGCCCATCAAGCCTGCTCCACCATTCAGTGTGATCGTGGCTGATCTCCCAGCACAGTATCCTGCTCCCACTTTCAAACAATACCCTTTGGTCTTCTAAGGCACAATTGCACTTAACTCCTTAAAAGCCACACAATGTTTCAGCCTCAATCACTTTCTGTGGCAGAAAATTCCACAGGCTTCCCACTCCCTGGGTGAAGACATTTCTTCTCATCTCAGTTATAAATGGCACCTACAGTGTATCCTTAGACTCTGACCACTGGTTCTGGTCTCCCCTGGACCTCAGGAACATCCTTCTTGTGTTTAACCTATCTAGTCCTGATAGAATTTGATAAGTTTCTATGAGATCCACCCACCCACTCCCCCTCCCCCTCCCCCCATTCTTTTAAACTCCAGTGATTATAATCCTAACCAATCCAGTCTCTCTTCATACGACAGTCTTGCCATCCAAGGAATTCTCCTGGGAAACCTTCACTGCACTCCCTTTATAATCAGAACCACCTCCCTCAGAAAAGGAGACTAAATCTGCACACAGTATTCCAGGTGTGCTCTCACCAGGGCCCTGTACAATTGTGGCAAGACATCCCTGCTCCTGTACTCGAACCCTCTCACTATGAAGGCCCACATACTATTTGCCTTCTTCTCTGCTTGCTGCACCTGTAAGCTTACTTTCAGTGACTGGTGCACAAGGACACCCAGATTTCGTTACACTTCCTCCTTTCCCAATCTATTCATAATACTCTGCCTTCCTATTTTTGCTACCAAAGTGGATAACCTCGCATTTATCCATATTACACTGCATCTGCCATGCATTTGCCCATTCTCTCAGCCTGTCCAAATCACACTGCAACATCGTAGAATCCCCACAGTGTGGAAGCAGGTCATTAAGTCCATTGAGTTCACACCGATCTTCTGAAGACCATCTCACCCAGATCCACCCCCCCCACCCTATCCCTGTAACCCTGCATTTCCCATGGCTGATCCACTGAGCCTGCACATCCCTGGACACTATGGGCAATGTAGCATGGCCAATCCACCCTAACCTGCACATCTTTGGACTGTGGGAGGAAACCGGAGCACCCGAAGGAAACCCACGCAGGCACAGGGAGAATGTGGAAACCCCACACAGTTGCTAAAGGGTGAAATCAAATCCAGTTCCCTGGTACTGTGAGCCACCGTGCCACTCAACTATCTCTGCATCCTCTTCACAGCTCACCCTGCTCTCAACTTTGTGTTGTCTGCCTGCCTGGAGATATTATATTTAGTGTCCTCATCTAAATCATTAAAACATATTTAGAATAGCTGGGGTTCAAACACTGATCCCGGCGTTATCGCACTGATCACTGTCTACCAGGTAAAGACCCACATATGCCTACTGTGTATGCTGCATGCTAACCAGTTTTCTCTCTGTGTTGGTACACTAATCCCAATCCCACGTGCTTTAATTTTACACACTACTCTCTTTTGAAAACTTTCTGAAAGTCCAAATAAAGCACATTCACTGGCTCTCCAGATTAACTCTACTAGCTATGTCCTCGAAATATTCCAATAGATTTGTCAAGCATGGCTTTCCTTTTATAAATCAATGCTTACTCTGTCCAAGAGATAGTAGGAACTGCAGATGCTGGAAAATCTGAGATAACAAGGTGTAGAGCTGGATGAACACAGCAGGCCAAGCAGCATCAGAGGAGCAGAAAGGCTGACGTTTCGGGCCTAGACCCTTCATCAGAAATGGGGGAGGGGAAGGGGGTTCTGAAATAAATAGGGAGAGAGTGGGAGGTGGATAGAAGATGGATAGAGGAGAAGATAGGTGAAGAGGAAACAGACAGGTCAAAGAGGCAGGGATGGAGCCAGTAAAGGTGAGTGTAGGTGGGGAGGTAGGGAGGAGATAGGTCAGTCCAGGGAGGACGGACAGGTCAAGGGGGCGGGATGAGGTTAGTAGGTAGGAGATGGGGTTGGTGCTTGAGGTGGGAGGAAGGGATAGCTGGGAGGAAGGACAGGTAAGGGAGGCGGGGACGAGCTGTGCTGGTTTTGGGATGCGGTAGGGGGAGGGGAGATTTTGAAGCTTGTGAAATCCACATTGATACCATTGGGCTGCAGGGTTCCCAAGCGGAATATGAATTGCTGTTCCTGCAACCTTCGGGTGGCATCGTTGTGGCACTGCAGGAGGCCCAGGATGGACATGTCGTCCGAGGAATGGGAGGGGAAGTTGAAATGGTTCGCGACTGGGAGGTGCAGTTGTTTATTGCGAACCGAGCATAAGTGTTCTGCAAAGCGGTCCCCAAGCCTCCGCTTGGTTTCCCCAATGTAGAGGAGGCCACAACGGGAACAGCGGATGCAGTATACTACATTGGCAGATGTGCAGGTGAACATCTGTTTGATGTGGGAAGTCTTCTTGGGGCCTGGGATGGGGGTGAGGGAGGAGGTGTGGGGGCAGGTGTAGCATTTCCTGCGGTTGCAGGGAAAAGTGCCGGGTGTGCTGGGGTTGGAGGGGAGTGTGGAACGGACAAGGGAGTCACGGAGAGAGTGGTCCCTCCGGAAAGCAGATAAGGGTGGGGAGGGAAAAATGTCTTTGCTGGTGGGGTCGGATTGCAGATGGCGGAAGTGTCGGAGGATGATGCGTTGGATCCGGAGGTTGGTGGGGTGGTACGTGAGGACGAGGGGGATTCTTTTTTGGTTGTTATTGCGGGGACGGTGTGTGAGGGATGAGTTGCGGGAAATGAAAGAGACACGGTCAAGGGCGTTCTCGACCACTGAGGGGGGAATGTCCCCAACACCTCATCTTTACCATGGACGTCCAGTCCCTCTACACCTGCATTCCCCGTACAGATGGCCTAAGGCCCTCCATTTCTTCCTGTCCCGCAGGCCCGACCAGTCCCCCTCCACTGACACCCTCATCCACTTAGCCGAACTCTTCCTCACCCTCAACAACTTCTCTTTCAATTCCTCCCACTTCCTACAGACAAAGGGGGTGGCCATGGGTACCTGCATGGGCCCAAGCTATGCCTGCCTCTTTGTAGGTTACGTGGAACAATCCCTCTTCCGTACCTACACTGCCCCTAAACCCCACCTCTTCCTCCGTTACATTGATGACTGTATCGGTGCCGCCTCGTACTGCCACGAGGAGCTCGAACAGTTCATCTACTTCACCAACACCTTCCACCCCAACCTTAAGTTCACCTGGACCATCTCTAACACCTCTCTCACCTTCCTGGACCTCTCTGTCTCCATCTCGGGCAATCACCTAGAAAACGATATCCATTTCAAGCCCACCGACTCCCACAGCTACCTAGAATACACCTCCTCCCACCCACCTTCCTGCAAAAATGCCATTCCCTATTCCCAATTCCTTCGTCTCCGCTGCATCTGCTCCCAGGATGAGGCATTCCACTCCCGTACATCTCAGATGTCCTCGTTTTTCAAGGACCGCAACTTCCCTCCCTCAGTGGTCAAGAATGCCCTCGACCGTGTCTCCTGCATTTCCCGCAACTCATCCCTCACACCCCCTCCCCGCAATAACAACCAAAACAGAATCCCCCTCGTCCTCACGTACCACCCCACCAACCTCCGGATCCAACGCATCATCCTCCGACACTTCCGCCATCTGCAATCCGACCCCACCACCAAAGACATTTTCCCTCCCCACCCTTATCTGCTTTCCGGAGGGACCACTCTCTCCGTGACTCCCTTGTCTGTTCCACACTCCCCTCCAGCCCCACCACACCCGGCACTTTTCCCTGCAACCGCAGGAAGTGCTACACCTGCCCCCACACCTCCTCCCTCACCCCCATCCCAGGCCCCAAGAAGACTTTCCACATTAAGCAGATGTTCACCTGCACATCTGCTAATGTGGTATACTGCATCCGCTGTACCCGTTGTGGCCTCCTCCACATCGGGGAAACCAAGTAGAGGCTTGGGGACCGCTTTGCAGAACACCTATGCTCAGTTCGCAATAAACAACTGCACCTCCCAGTCGCGAACCATTTCAACTCCCCCTCCCATTTCTCGGACGACATGTCCATCCTGGGCCTCCTGCAGTGCCACAACGATGCCACCCGAAGGTTGCAGGAACAGCAACTCATATTCTGCTTGGGAACCCTGCAGCTTAATGGTATCAATGTGGATTTCACAAGCTTCAGAATCTCCCCTCCCCCTACCGCATCCCAAAACCAGTCCAGCTCGTCCCCGCCTCCCTAACCTGTTCTTCCTCCCACCTATCCCCTCCTCCCACCTCAAGCACCACCCCCATCTCCTACCTACTAACCTCATCCCGCCCCCTTGACCTGTCCGTCCTCCCTGGACTGACCTATCTCCTCCCTACCTCCCCACCTACACTCACCTTTACTGGCTCCATCCCTGCCTCTTTGACCTGTCTGTTTCCTCTCCACCTATCTTCTCCTCTATCCATCTTCTATCTGCCTCCCACTCTCTCCCTATTTATTTCAGAACCCCCTTCCCCTCCCCCATTTCTGAAGAAGGGTCTAGGCCCGAAACGTCAGCCTTCCTGCTCCTCTGATGCTGCTTGGCCTGCTGTGTTCATCCAGCTCTACATCTTGTTATCTTACTCTGTCCAATCCTGCTGTCACTGTTTACCATGTGTTTTGCTATTAAATCTTTGTCATTATATAAAATGGTAAATGTGCATCTGTGGTTTCATGCTGGGGTCAGAACAGGGAGGGTCTCAGTATTGAGATGTGAGTACTGGGCTGGATGTTACGGTCAGTGGGCAGTCTTGGTTACACAGTGTCCTGTAATTTCGGATGATTCCCGACTTGAACAGCACAAAGGCTGCAGTGCTGAAATGATGGGAGAGACTCCCACAGCCAGCCAGGATTCTGAGGATGGCAGCAGAGCTTCAGAATTATCCGCTTGATCCCTTATTGGCACCCGTTGAGGAAGGTGTTTTTCTGGGGGTGGCAGGACCTGGGTGGGTCAGGGAACCGAAGAGAGTGGGACAAGGGGCACCCGATTATACTGAGAGATGACAGGAGTCACGCTTCACAGTAACACCACCAACACCAGCATGTGGTCTGGAACTTGGAGCCTGTCTGTAGAGGACTTGCTGAGGATTGTTCTGATCTCCACTATTCTTTGTACCTCACTGTTGGGGAACACCGTGGTGCTGTTGGTGCTGCAGAGAAAGCCCCAGCTGCTGTATGTGGCAAACCGTTTTGTTTTCAACCTGCTGCCAGCTGACTTGCCGCGAACACTGGGTGGTGACGCCTTTGGTAATAGTGAGCAGTTTACCAGCATCCAGTCTCTGAACATAGGCCTCTGTAAACTGTTGGTCATTTTGGTGCATCTGTTTGCATTTGCTGGTGTTAATACCATCTAAGTGGTCTCCATCGATTGATGTTTGGCAATCATTCACCCCCCCGGCCTACACCAAGCGAATGACTCCACAGACAGGCAACAACCTGATTGGTCTAACTTGGCTGCTTGGTGTGGTGCAAAGTACGCCCCCTGTCTACGGCTGGGGGCAGGTGCACTATGACAATCACAGCTTCTGCAGCCTGCTCTGGTCATCCGGTTCCTCCTACACCCTGCTGACCACCCTGTCCACCTTCTGGCTGCATCATGCTGGGCTGCTACTGGATGGTGTTCAGGGCAGCACGAAGACACGATGCTTTGGTTCACCCAATTCCTCCCAAAGTCCAGCCAAAGCAGTCACACATGACTATTTCCAGCTTAGGGGCTAGAACTCGTCATTGGTGTTTTCATTGCCGCTGCAAGGCAGCAAGGGTTGTCTTTGTCACTGTGTCCTCCTATATCTTCAGCATGGGCCCTTACAGCATCCTCATGACCATGAGCAGGTTGAAATCTCCACCTCCTTGGCTCACCACCACAGCTCTGATTCTCTTCTACTGCCAGCGCTGCATCTACCCTTACACCTACGGTTACATGCACAGGAGTGTCAGGATGGAGTTCCTCACACTGCTGTGTGGCTCTTGCTACAGGCAGCTGCACCCCAGGAACTCAGTGCTAGACAGCTATGTCACCATGACAGATGGCAAGATCTCCCATTAGCACTTTTCCACAGGTACTTCTCTAGTCTGTGCTCAGAAATCTTGGGAAGAAGCATCAACTCCCATGTATATCCCCAGACCACAGAGTCTCAAGTGTCATCATAATAAAACACTTGCAACCAGCTGTACTTCTGAAAATGAACTTCACCCCTGCCCAACCAATTATCTGACAAGGAACCACAGTAAAAACTGATGACTTACTCTGCAGTGACAGATGCTGGTTATATGAACATATTAAATTTGTTCAAACATTTACATAATATCTGCAGAAGTTGTCAGAGAGTTGGAGGAAAATAAAACTTTATTAAAATAGATGCAAAATAGTGTAATTTTCTATTAAAAACTGGATTTTTTCAAAGAGTAAATATGATGTTTGTTGAATCTTCTGGAAATTAGGGTCCTGGCAATTACAATTCTGGAACACACCTTAGTGGTCCTCAGAGTAATGGGCAGAATTCACATGACACCAGGTTACAGTCCAACAGGTTTATTTGGAATCACAAGCTTTCGAAGCGCTGCCCCTTCATCAAGTGAAGTGAAGAAAAGCACACAGGCACAGAATTTATAGGCAGAGAGATCAAATGATAATACAAATGATGTGAGTGAACTGTCGATAGTCTGAATAATAAGTCTCTGCAAGTGATCAAAAGTGTCAGACGGTGTGGGTAAAGTGTCAACAGCTGAATAATAGTGAAGGGATGATTTATAATCCGATTAAATGAGGCAGAGAGATAATAACAAAAAATTAAAAATAAGGTGGTACTGGAGACAAACTAAATGGCTGGAATAACATGGTAGGTATGAGAGTCGCATGATGGGGGTCTAACCAAAGTAACAAGTAATCCAAAACTGAACAAACTAATTGAGGAATAGAGATCATAACAAGTTATCAGGGTGATGGTGTTCAAACAGGACAGTAAGTAAGGTTTCACAGATACAGAGCAGTGTGGTGGGGTCGCATGTAGCATGATGTGAACCTAAGATCACGATTGAGGCCGTCTGCATGGGTATGGAACACGGCTGTTAGCCTCTGTTCGGAAATTCTGTGTTTTTGTGTATATCAAAGGCCGCCTTGGAGGACACTTAGCTGAAGATCGGAGGCTGAATGCCCTTGACTCCTGAAGTGTTTCCCCACTGGGAGGGAACACCCCTGCCTGGTGATTGTTGCGCGGTGTCCATTCATTCATTGTAGTAGCATCTGCACGGTCTCACAATATACCATGCCTCGGGGCACCCTTGCCTGGAGCGTACGAGGTAGACAACCTTGGCCGAGTCACATGAGTATCTGCCGTGTACGTGGTGTTCCCATGCACGATGGTAGTATCCCGAGTAATAGCCGCAAACCCCTAGGGATGTGTAGGGATTCTCCAGGGTCCCATGAAACAACGTGAAACGCAAGGTGAAAATGTGGGCACTGTGTAATAGACAATTAACTGGTTTTGACAGATAGGGAGGGCACCTTGCAAAGGAAATCAGCCTCTGCACAAAAAAGTAGAAACTTCTGTTTGATAATCTGTAGAAAAACATTGCTGCTGAGAGAAGATGTTGCATTAAAAAATGATTTTTTAAAAGCACAATTCTAAAACACCTCCTAGTTATAAAAGTATTGGAGATGCTGATAACTCTTCAGTAGCTGATTGAATGAATCTTAAAAAATTATTTCACATGTGTGTGTTACCGGCTAGGCCAGTATTTGTTGCCTGTCCCTAGTTGCCCTTGAGAAGGTGGTGAGCTGTCACCTTGAACCATTGCATTCTAATCGGTCAGGGAGGAATTCCAGGATTTTGACCCAGCAACAGAGGGACCAGGCAATATGTTTCCAAGTCTGGATGGTGAGTGGCTCGGAGGGAAAATCGCAGGTGGTAATGTTCCCATATATCTGCTGCCCCTGTTCTTCGAAGGGGCAACGGTCACAGGCTCAGTGGTTAGCACTGCTGCCCCACAGCGCCAGGGACCCGGGTTCAATTCCACCCTCGGGCGACTGTCTATGTGGAGTCTGCACATTCTCCCCTTGTCTGCGTGGGCTTCCTCCCACAGTCCAAAGTTGTGCAGGCTAGGTGGATTGGCCATGTTAAATTATCCATACTGTTCAAGGATTTGTAGCTTAGGTGGGTTAAGGGGATGGGTCTGGGTGGGATGCTCTGAATGTCAGTGTGGACTTGTTGGGTCAAAGGAACTATTTCCACACTATAGGGATTCTATGATATTTGGAAGGTGCTAATTTGGTGAATTTCTGCAATTCATCTTGTGGATGGTGTACACTGCTGCTATTGAGCATCTGTAATGAAGGGAGTGGATGTTGGGGGATGTAGTGGCAATCAAGTGGACTGCTTTGTCCTGGATAGTGTTAAACATCTTGAGGTTGGAGTTGTACTCATCCAGGCAAGTGGGGAGTATTCCATTGCACTCCTGACTTGTGCCTTGTAATGATGGCCAGGCTGTAGGAGTTACTCACCACAGGATTCCCAGCCTCTGATGTGTTTTCCCCCCTCCAACCCACACCATTGCATTTATATTGCTTTGTGATTGGCTGTGGAGAGGTGGTACCCTCAGATAGACATGGCAGGTTACCAATTACAGGGCAATGGGAAATGATGAAATCTCAAGTACTAGTGGCTGTAACTATGTCTCAAACAATGTAGATATTTTAAAAAAAAAACTTCATAATCTTTTTCAGTAGCTTGGATGACGGAGCCAAATGTACATTCACTAAAAATTGGCTGATTACAGAAAGGAGCCGACAAAGGGAGAGATAGATTAAGTGAGCAGGCAACATCTTGCAAATTAAATAAAAGGTGGGGAAATGTGAACCTGTCTACTTTAACAGGAAAGACAGAAAAGCAGCAGATTATTTAATTGAGACATTTCAGAACTCTGTGGTACAGAGGGATCTGGGTGTTCTGAAACATGAATCATTTAAAGTTAGTATGCAGTGATTGGAAAAGGAAATGGAATGCAATGGAAATACAATATAAAAGCAGAAATGTTTTTCAGTAGTCGTATAGGGTACGCATGATCATAGAGACCAAAGTACACAATACATCAGATAAGTGATATAAATGCATTAGAAAGGGTTCTTGTGCTAGCGGTACTTAGCCCATCTCTGGGCCAGAAGGTCCAGATTCAAGTCCCACCTACGGTAGAGGTAGGTTGTATCAGAACAAGCTGATTAAAAACATTTGCAAATGCATTAGAAGCAGTTCAGAGGTCGTTCACTCAACTGTTACCTGGGATGCAACATTATCTGAAGAAGAAATGGTTGTGCCTATATCCATTGGAGTTTGAAAGAAAGCGAGATGATTGGCTCAGTGGTTAGCACTGTTATGTCACAGTGCCAGGGACCTGGGTTCAATTCCACCCTCTGGCAACTGTCTGTGTGGAGTTTGCACATTCTCCCTAACTGCATGGGTTTCCTCCCACAGTCCAACGATGTGCAGGTTAGGTGGACTGGCCATGCTAAATTGCCCCTACTGTCCAGGGATTGTGTAGATTAGGTGGGTTATAGGGGGACAGGACTGGGTGGGATGCTCCAAGGGTTGGTGTGGACTTGTTGGGCCGAAGGGCTTGTTTCCACACTGTAGGGATTCTATGATTATTGAGACATAAAACATGCTGAGGGGACGTGACAAGATGCATGCTGACAGTATGTTACCCCTTGTGGACAGACCAGAACGAACTGATTATTATTACACAAGGGGTCTCCCATTTAAAACATTGATTTCCCCACCCCCTGCCGAGGGTTCAAGTCTGTGAAATTCTCTTCAAAAAGCAGTGGAGGCTGGGGCATTGAATATCTGTAAGGCTGCTTTTGAGAAATTTTTGATTCACAAGGGAATCAAAAGGCACACGGGATTGAATCAAGGCCATAATCAGATCACCCAGAAGTCCTACTTTTCAACTCACTACCTAACTTTGCAGGACCTCATCTCTCTTTCTGCTTATGTCATTCGCTCCAATATGGATCACAACTTGTGGCTATTCACCCTCTTCCTTCAGAGGATTTTGTGCCCACTCAGACATCCTTGACCTTAGCACCAGGGAGGCAGCACACTATCCTGGAGTCTCACTGACAGCCAAAGATCACTGAGCCTCACCTGCACTTCGACCCTCCCCGCTGTACAACAGTGTCAGTCGTGATATCACTGATCTAGCTGTTGCTTTCCCCCTGAGGCCATTCCCCCACAACCTCCAGAGTGCTCAAAGCAGCGTATTTGTTCAAGGTAGGAATGGCCACAGGGGCCCTTGCACTGACTGCCCATGCTCACCAGTCTTTCTGGTGATCACACAATTGTGTAGCCCTAGCTGGTAGGGTGACCTGCTCGCTAAACGTGCTAACCAAAAACATTCTCAGCTTCATGGATGCTCCATAGGGAGTCCAACCGCAGCTCCAATCAACAAAGTAGGAGCTACAGCTGAACTCACTTCCTGCACACAGAGTCACCATGGACACTGGATGTGTCCCTGATTTCCCACATTTAACAGGAGGAGCATTCCACAGGGCTAAGTTCTCCTGCCATTTTGAACCTCATCAGCAGTCACACGACACCAGGCTTCGTCCAACAGGTTTATTTAAAATCACATGACAAAGGAGCAGTGCTCCAAAAGCTGGTGTTTTCAAATAAACCCTGTTGGACTATAACCTGGTGTCGTGTGACTTCTGACTTCATCCACCCCAGTCCAACACCAGCACCTCCACATCTGAACCTCATCAACTAAATCAACCATATCAACTCCAGATCTGGAATTCTGTGCTTTAAAAAAATCTGTCAACGTTAGGACACAATCACAACTTTCAAGACTGAGATAGAGGGACTTTAATTTGTAGACTATGGATAGATAAGGCATTAAGAACCCTAAGTGGAAAGTTGGAGTTGATAGAGAGCAGTCGTTATCTGATTGAACAGTAGAGGTGACCCAAAGGACTTCAGTGGCTTGCTTTGCTTGCTCATTATGCCTAGGCTTTATTGATAGTCTGCCGTATTGCACAGTCCCAAACTCTAT